AACCCCCACCTCCAAGAAATGTTTTTTTAACAGTAAACCTTTTTGCCCTTCCTTACCTGTCCCCTTGGAGTAAGATCAAGATATGGTGACTGTGGGTGGGTTGGTTTGGAGACCTACAAAGAACTCTTGTTTAATTTAGAAAATTCATTTACAAAATTATGATCTTAACTAGGCTCAGAAATTAATTTCTAAAGCCTCTCTTGATAATCAGAATTATTTGTTTCTAAGGATCTGTACTGATAAGCAGGAACACACCCCAGAAAAGAAATTGCCTGGTAAACACAGGGTTAATTATTAACAGATTGATAGAAATGGGGAAGAAATACAGACCCCAACTGAATGTTCAGTGCATGCTGAGCCAGAAACTCCTCTCATGTAAGACTTGGAATATTCACCTGATGTCACAATAAATATTTTGATGCTTTTCATCCAAGATTTTTTTTTGACCTGACATAATTGTTTTAAATGTTTTTAATTACCACATATTAATATACATCACAAGTATTTTTTCTGAGTGGTTATCATTATAATCATTTAATAAATAAAGTTAATTTTTATAATAAAAGTAATAAATGATATTTTTAGAAAAGTTCAACTATGATACAAAAAAAAGAGAAAAATGAAAGAAACCAAATCACCCCTAAACCCATCATTTAGAGATTTGTACTTTTAACACATCTTAAAGGATGGGTGATCCTTCATTTTTTGAATGTCATTGTTACTTGCTTTTTAATGGTTGCGTAATTTTCCACTGAGGGAGGGTACTACAATCCACTTAGTCATTCCCCTTGGTTTAGCTAGAATAAAAACTTTGGTGAAAAGTGTTGTGAATTGTTTCCCTTAGCCTGATCTGCAGCACTATGACTGAGTCATGGCATATGTGTTGTGGTTATTCCCAAAGTAAGAAACTTAAACTTCTCTTTGAAAGCGGCTGCTTCACGGGGTGGGTGTGGGTGGTGAGCACTCCTAACCTATGACTCGCCTCCCAGAACTTCCTCCCTCTGCACACACCCCCTCCTACTGCCCCTGGCCTGCATCCTAAACTCCAGCACAAATAAGCCTGCCCCACACGTGTCCCTTTGTGGTTCTTGGTTCTTCTGTGTTCTCCGCCCTGCAGAAGGCAGGGGTTGGTTGCCTCTCGTTTGGAAGTTTCAACATAGGTCAGTAAATGGGAAACTTCCCCTTCTCTTTCTTCCTGAGCCAGGAAGGATGATCTTGCTCTTTGCTTTGTTTAGGAAATAATCTGTTTGCCAGAGATAGCTTCAGAGCTTGCATTATCTCTCTGGCCTTCCTAGGATCCCTCTGTCCACCACTCGGGCCTCCATCTAGTCTCACCTGGTCTCCACGTGAGCCCACAAATGATGGCAGCATCTTGTGTCCTTGGGGTCATGGAAGAGAGTCTGAGGTCACTTAGTTAAAAATATCCAGGGCCCTTAACTTTTTGCATTTGACTGAATATTAATGATAATGATAGAAGCTGACATTTGAGGAGGGCTTGATCCCTAGCAGGAAAGGCAGTGTGGTGAGGAGACTAATGACTCAAGACCAGAAGAGATAATTGTCCCTCCCTTTTGCTGGCAGTAAAGCATCTTCAGCTCCAATTTTTTTTTTTACATTTTCTTTAATGTCCTCAAAGGATTATGGGAAAGCTCACGGGAAAGAAGATCAAACCGTAAAGTGATCCTCAAGTGGGAAAAGGTTTCATTATTGTAGTTCTATGTGGCCTCTCCTACCCTCGACCATAAACAAGGCCAAAGATAGAGACCTCTTCAACTATCTGGTTGATGAACTTTTTTTTTTTTTTGACATTTTAGAGTTATTTAGGTTGTTGAATTTTCAGTTCATTTAAATGTTGAGATCATCCTTGTTATTTGTTTGTTTTATTAAAACATAAACCACACTCCCTTGGTTTTTCTCTGTAATGAACTAGCGCTAGCGGTGTTCTCAGCAGATGATATGCTCAGTACTTAAAATCTGAGGGTGGACTTAAGTAACTAATTATTTGTGTGACTATGTAAGAAAACAACCAAAAGAGCTAAAATGTCACCATCTAAAAACAGGGAAGTAGAGTAGCCACAGTAGATAATCCTTATTTTTGCATTTGTATGGCATCGGACACAGCAACTTTCACAGCTCCTTGTAGGGATGTGGGTGTGGCACACTGAAGCTTCAGGGGAACTTCCTGTGGGGAGCTGACTAATGGCTGAAGGTTCACTCCTTTGTGTTGGGGTCCAGCAGGTTTTACCAGATTTCACCAGGCCCTGCTGCTGAGCAACATCCATCTCTCCTTCTGAGCTGATATAATGTATCCAGATGTTGCAAGAGAACTGTGACATCTCATTGTTAGAGATGGGCTCCAGGCCCCAAATCCCCTCTGTTTGGAAGGAAGTCAGAGCCAAGAAATAAATGAGACTTTCAAGTTATCCAGCAGTGCCATTGCCATCACCATTATCGTCACCACCATCCTGATTTTAGGAATGCATTTGGACAAATGACACAGCCAGCCGTGTGTGGACACAGCCAGCCGTGTGCGTCTTGTTTATGTTCTGGTGATTTTGCACTTAGAACTCCATCAATGCCAAAGTAAATCTCAGGGAACTTGATTGTAAAATTAGGGAGTTCTTTGGAAAAACTGAGAAAGTCCTGACGTGAAGGTGGTGATGAGGAACAAGTCGCTCTTTTCTAAGAAGGCATTTCAAGTGCAATCCCTAGAAACTCATAAGAGACTTACTTTATTTTTTAGTTCCCTACATTTTTTGAGAACATTCTAAATATTTTTTGTATGTGTGAAGGTATTTAAGAGTAGCCAAGCATAAAAAATGACTTGAAAAAAATTACATACAACAGAGATAACATCAGTAGACAAATGGTTATTATTAATCAGTTAAAAAAAAAAAAACCAGAAAACTTCATAATGGGAAAATGGCATGAACCAGTAATTTATGAAAGAAGAAATACAGATGATCATTAACCTCAGGGAAAAAATGTGTGGTCTCCTCTAAACAATTAAATTAAAAAAATTGAGTAATGAGTTATGAGTTTTCTTCACTATCAGGTCAAGAGTATTGAAAGTTTGGGCAGATGAGAAATAAGGCTCTAATAGAGAAGAGGTGTGGATGAGTACGGCCTTTCCCAAGAGCAACGGGTCAATATATAAAAATGTTTTAAAGGGAACACAACTTTGTAACTCAGCAACGTGGCTCCTAGGCATGATGTTTGGAAATCAGGCAAGGAGGGGAAAGTGTATGTGTAATGTTACTCACTGATTCTAGTGGTGAAAAATAACAGAGCAACTTACTTGTCCATCGTCGAGTGCTTGTTGAAGAAGTTATGCAGCAGCTGGCCTGAGGGGTTTGAAGGCAAAGGTCAAAGTAGAAGCTGCTTCTCCATCTCTGCACCTCCCCTGACCCACCGTGCTTGACTTAAGGACACTGCAGGGAGACAGGAGGCTGAATTGGTGCCTCTTCTTGCCCTGGGGTTTCTGGAATCTTCCTTGTTCTGCCACATGGTGATTCAAAGCCATGGTGAAATCTGAGTGTGGTATGCATTAGGATGGACCTTTTCCTACTTCTTTACCCACAAATCTTTCTCATGTGCCTTGATAATTTTGGTCCTTTGAGGACATTGTACAAGGTGTCAAGAATTTCACCTCTTCTCACCCCCCAGGGCACAGCCACCATCACATCCCACATCACAGCAATGGCCTCCTGGCAGGAGGCCAGACCTATTGGTGGGTCTGTCATATCCCCAAAGCTTATTCTCCAAGTGGGAGTCAGATAGAATCTGTGGGCACTGGGAAAGCCTATTTTCCTATGCTCAAAACCTCGTAAGACCCCTATTTCTTTCTGAATAATCTGCATAACAGGCCTCTCCCTGGCACTATTCTGACTTCTTCTACTTTTCCTTCATCACTTCCTCGGCCTTGGTCATGCTGGTCTTGCTGTTGTCCCTTCAACAGGGCAGCACATGACCTTAGTCTCTCTACCTCTGTCAACTCCTTTGATGGAGTTGATAATGACCCAAAATCAGTCTTGCCTTCTCCCGAGACCCCATATGTCACCCTATCCAATATGCCAACGCACCCTCCTTCTTTCTCAGGACCGTCTCTCCCCTTCACCCTGCTCTGCTGTGCTTTTCTTCCTTATCCTTTATCTTTATAAAATAATAACTGAATTATCTTTTATGCTTGCTGTGTGTATGTCTTCAACTTGAATGTTTTGTTCACTGAGGGACCCCAGTTACCTAGAAAGATGATTGGCATCTGATGGGTGTTTTACACACACACACACACACACTCACGCACACATTTGTTGGATGCCTTAAAAGAAACGTGAGGGATTATATAAAGATATTAATGACAATTACTTAATTTTTACTGAGTATTTACTATGTGCTAAGTAGAGTGATGGTATGCATCCAGCTCATCCAGGGCTCCAAGGAACTGATGAAGTGGGTATCCTTAAGACCATTCATTTATAGATGGGAAAACTGAGGTTTAGAAAGATGAACGTAAGCTGCCTAAAATCTCATAACCAATATACTTTAAACTTAGATGTAAAGCCAAGAAGTCTGCGTGCTGAGAATTCTGTTTCAGCAAACCAACGTTGCTTCTGCACTATCTCTTAGTTGAGATTGTGTGAGATTTAACTTGGAAAAGGGTTTTTTTTTCCTATGTAAATAATTTTGGCCACCACTGTCCTTGATATTTGAACCAAACCGAAATCCTGTGGTAGCAAATCTAAGCCAGTAGTAGGTTTCCATGTGATCAAATACCGTGACATTTGAATAATTCCTCCCACCACTTGCCATTTGGGACTCGGTTTTGCAGAAGAAAAAGTAAACATCTGTTGATAATTTAAGGACTTTCTTCTACTGTTATTAAAAACAAAATCCTACCCCTCACCTCCACCCGTTGCTGTGCTGTGTCTGGGTGTGGCTTTGCATCTTTGGCCTCTGTCGGTCACAGTGACTGTCCCCTCACACTCGATTCTTTCTTCCAGGAGAATGACATAAACCTGACCCACATCGAGTCCAGACCTTCTCGACTAAACAAGGACGAGTATGAATTTTTCACCCACCTGGATAAACGCAGCATGCCTGCCCTGACCAGCATCATCAAGATCCTCAGGCATGACATTGGCGCCACTGTCCACCAGCTCTCCCGAGACAAGAAGAAAGACACTGGTAAGAATTAGAAGGGCCGGGCGCGGGTGGCACACACCTGTAATCCTAGAGGCTCAGGAGGCTGAGACAGGAGGATGGCGGGCGAGTTCAAAGCCAGTCTCAGCAAGGCGAGGTGCTAAGCAACTCATTGAGACACTGTCCCTAAATAAAATACAAAATAGGGTTGGGGATGTGGCTCAGTGGTCAAGTGTCCCTGAGTTCAATTCCCAGTACCCTCCCCCCCAAAAAAAAGAATTAGAGAAATCCTGGGACACAGGAGTCTGTTTTTATAAAATGACACACAAATAATGCCTCCCCTGGAAACTGTTGTGGGGGATTAGACAAGAAGATGTAGGTAAGGGACCAGGACTAGCTTAGCATGTCAGGGACACATAGCAACTTAGTTTCCTCCCCTTCAAAATAGCTGTTTCTTAAATTAGTAGTTCTCTTTCTCTCGCTGCAATTTTTAGACCCTGAATCCATCATCTCTCAATCTTCTACCTCCAGAGGTGGGATGGTTAGGGTGCCAGGTGCTTCCTATGTGAGTGCAAATCCAGAACAAGACGCCTAGTGGTCTCCATTGCCACCAGAGGACTGTCTCAAGAGCTGTGCATAACATGCCAGTCCTGGAGCTGGGCCTGCCTGGTTCCTTGGTCCTAAAGGTGTCATTGTCATTGTCTGTGTTTTTATCTGCCTCTGCTTCTGAACTGCCAGCTCCTCATGGGAAGGGGTTCCCTCTTACCTGTACATATATCCTCAGAGTTCAGCTCAGTGCTCGGTACACAGCAAATATTTGTGAGTGAATGATTAAATATAGGATTTATTAAGACTTGTGTGGTCCTGTTCTCTGCTTACCAAGGTGCTGCCCATTTCTGTCACCTGGAGAAGTGAAGCGTGATAGGGCATAGGTATTGTAAGTATGGGCTTGAGATTAGATGGACTTGGGTTCAAGTCCTACTTCCTCCCCATTATGACTTTGAGACTCTGACAAGTCCCTTGAACTACTCTGATCTCAATTTTTCATTAAGCTTATACAAACATTAAATGAGATAATATGTAAACCATGCTTGGAACAGTATCTGACATAGTAGAGGGCTGGTTAAATGATGGTATGAAGTAGTTATGATTATGATTAGCCTAAAAAGAATATAGTGAAACAGGAAGCTGTGTTTTAGGGTCCAAAGCATATTTTTAATAGACTTTAATTTTAGAACAGCATTAGGTTTACAGAAAATTTGTGCAGAAAGCACAGAGAATCCTAATGTCTTCATTATCCTTATCCCGAGTTCTCCTTATTAAGAATTTGCATTAGTGCAATACATGTTTTATAATTTGACAAGTTGCGGGGGGGGGGGGGGTGACGACGAATAACTTGTGTACGTTGATGCAGCAGGAATAGGAGCCGTTTATTGTAGGACAACAGAGCTATTTATACATTTTGCACAGCTTATCTTAATTAGCATAAACTAGATACATCAGTCAACCAATAAGGAATCTCCACACTTAATGGCTCGCTTTTGTTACTTCTCAAACCACTCCCTCTGGCATTTTGCCAGGCACCATCCAGACTTGTTTACAAACTCTAACATTCCCCTGGCAAAATACCACGTGTTATTTTGACTTGTCTACAGACCTTAACAACAAGTCAACATTGAAAAATTTTTGTGAACTAACATCCACGGTTTACATTTAGAATCGTGCTTTGCATTGTATAGTTCTATTGGTTTTAACAAATGCACGTCATGTATCCTCATCAAACTAAACAGAGTTGTTTCATTGCCATAAAAATGCGCCCCACCTAGTCCTCCCTCCTACATTACCCTCCCTTCAGCAACCTCTGATATTTTTAGTGACTCTGAAGTTCACCTTTTCTAGAATGTCGTAGAGTTGGAATTCTATGGTGTGTAGCCCCGTAGACTGGCTTCTTTGACTTAGCAACACACACGTGAGGTTCCTTCATGTTTTCTCCTGGCTGGAGAGCTCATGTTGTCTCTGAATAATATTCCACATGAACTTCACCAATCGCCTGGTTTAAGGACATCTTGGTTGCTTCCAATCTTTGGTGATTATGAATAAAGCTATGATAAATATTCACGAGCAGGCTTTGGTGTGGACATAAGTTTTCAACTCATTTGGGTAAATATTTAAGACTGTGGTGGCTGTGGTGAACTTGTTTATTAATCAAAAATTTTTTTCCACTGTAAAATCAAAAGCTTCTTTCAGAACAATAAAAACCTTTAGGTCAAGAGAATTTCAAGCACTGTAGCTGAATTGGTTAATAGATACTAAGTTATAGTTAGGTAAGAGGAATAAGTTCTGGTGTTCTACTGCACTGCAATGTACTGTCTTTTTCAAAAACAAAAGCTAGTAAAAAAAATTTTCTAATACTCCTACTACATCGAGGTGATCCATGTTTACAGAGATGGATCTATTTACCCTAATTTGAGCATTATACAATTTATATATGTTTTCTCGTAAATAGGTAGACTTTTTTTCTTTATGATGGGGATTGAACCCAGGACCTTGAACGTGCCAAGAATATGTATAATTCTTATGTGTCAATTAACAATGATTTAAAAATAGGATTTTAATAAGCAGATGCTTTAAAAATGAGCCACAAAAAGTGGCTTTTGTCAAACAGGCCACTGAGTTATTTCCTAAACGGTAGCTCCAAGGCCCTCCTAGGAGACCCCTTCTGCCCTCTCCTCCTGAAGTTGACACTAGGACAATGAGGCCTGCTCCTGGGCTCTGCCCTTGCCCACCATGGACAGCCATGCAGGGGCTCAGGTATCCAGGGGCTGGGCCCTTGGAATTTGTCCTCTGTTCAGCCCTTTCTGCCCCCCCCCCTTAGCCTCTCAAGCTGCCTCCCCAGTGACTGTCCTCTCCTGCTTTTCCGGCCACCTGCTCCCAACAGGAGCTGCAGGCCCTCAGGACAAAGGGCCTCCAGGATCCTGGGGCAAGCTCTGCCTCTGGTCGCAGCAGGTGGAGGCTGGGCCAGCTGGGGCTCTGGGGTCGGAAATCAAAGCAATTGACAAGCAGGCAGGCGGCCCCTCGAGGGGCCCGGAAGATGTATGTGGACCAGCTGGAGGGCCGCAGCCCGGGCTAGAGGCTCAGAAAGGAGGTTCTCAGCAGGGATATGACGGGACAGTTAGGAGCCAGGTTCCGGAGCCAGGGCGCACCGCACTTGGTGTGACTTTGAGCAAAGGACTGACGTCTGCAGCCTTCTGTTGTATCCAGTGGGGAAAACAAGAGTCTCTGCCCTGCAGGAGGAAAGAAATCACACCTCGGAAGCACCGGGACAAACTTAAAGACTTAATCGATCGTCTCTTTTCTTATCATTATCATCCTTATAAATTATTATCATTGGGGACGTGAATGCAGGAGCCACAAACAGCCAGTCTGTACACAACGTCTCAGAGACCCTGAAAACTGCAACAGGACCTCGGAGGTCACGTGGCCCTGCAGACTCCCTCCTTAATGTTTCATTGTAAAGATGGAGGCCATGACTCGCCTCAAGGCACAGTGAGGATTCTGTGTGGTCACTGGCAGGGGTGCCCTGGAGCCCCGTGCTGTGCCTGACACTGCTCAGAGCTGTGGAGTGGGGCCAGCTGCATGTTCCATGGATCTCACCGTCTGGCAGGGACAAGACACCCGGGTCAATGCCGTGGAGAGAAGGATGCTATGAGGGAGACAGTTGTGTGTCTCCGAGGACCAGCAACGTGAAGGTGAAAAGGTATCACGTCGTCACCACTGAGTCTATCAGAGGCGGAAGGTAGTAGGGGTATGGTCCCTTAGCAGGGTTCCTCACTGCCTTGCTCCAAATGGCAGGGTGCTGATGTTTGAAGCTGGGAGGACATTTTACCTGGAGAAAAGAAAACTCCTAAGTCTTTAAAACAACAAGTGTTTCAGGACCCTTACTTCTTGGAATGGCGGGTCAGACATGCCCTGATGACGACCAGCTGACCTCATCTTATTCTAACCGCTTCTAGGGATGCAGCAGATGCAGAGATGGCACCTGCCAAGGGCCCCTTGGGTCTCTGTGGTAGCAGTTGTGGAGTTTGGGCCCAGATTTGTGTAGCGGAAACAACTGTCTCTTTACAGAGTTGTTCCTTCTGCGAGGCCTCCGTGGGCAATGATCAGAGGAAGAAAAGCCTTGGAGTAGCCCGGAACCTTTGATTCTTTCTCTGGACAAAATGCCCTTTTTAATGAGGGGCTCAGATCTCGGGCGGGTCTGACAGCAGGTTCAAGTGGGAGATCTGAACCCCTCAAATCAATTAAGCTAAACCACTTTCCACTCTAGTTTTCAAACCATTCAAAGAGCCATGTGGGTGACAGAAAATGAAAGTTTTTCAGTTTCTTAATTGCTAAAGTTCCCCACCCAAAACAGCTTAAGGGAAGGTTAATTATGGTGACATGTTAAAGAAACCCCCAACCTTCTCAAATGCCTCCTGGAGAAGCTGATGTAAGTTTAATAGGATTTTAATCCAGAGAGTCTTTTGAATAGTTGAGGTCTATTCTCCTCTACCCTCTCTCCTGAGGACCTCAAATCCTTCTCCAACCCAACATGAAAGAGCATTAATATCGGCCATCGATCAATCTCCTAATCCTTTTACCTTCCCTTTGAGTCTTCTGCATGACATTGCATTTACTGGGGGGATGGAAAATGCCTACGTGGAGACAGACTGCAGCTAGGGGAAGCAGACGGACAGCACGTCTTGGAGGGACGGAGGTCGAGGAGATCACTTTGTGAGAAATTTATCTCCTGGGTGTTATTTTTCCAAGAGGAGATGGATTCTTGTTAGATTTGATTCAAGTTATAGTAATTATGAGGGTGTTGGTGTGGTAGTTAAGCAAGTCCAGGCTGCAAATACAACTGCATATTCTGTGTGGAGCTGAAAGGCTGTCTGTCTGTCTATCTATCATCCATCTGTCTGCCTGCCTAGGTAATATGCATGTATGTATCTACCTCCCTACTTACCTCCGTATGTATCTGTTTGTGATATATATATGAATGTCTACAT